ATATACATATATATCAATTCATATATATACAATGATCACTCTTGAAGGTGTATATAAAACATATAAAACATATATACACCTTCAAGAGTTATCATTTTAGCTAACATCATTTAATGACCGAGCCTTGGGAGTCCAGCAGAGTTGCTTCTGCTACATTCGGTTTGTTATAAGTGAGCGACAAATCTCTCCAGACTCAAGAGGAGAGGAATGAGACTGCACTTCTTGGTGGAAAGGTTTTAGAAAGCGTATAGGATGGGAAATGTAGTCGTGGCTATCTTTGAGAAATGTCACCTGCTACAGGTCCTTTATTGAGAAGCATTTACAGACCACCCTCACGGTGCATGGGCATGCTGTGCGTGTGTGTGGCAGGAGGTGAGTGATGCGGCCCTGTGTCATATATTTGCTCTCCCTGCATTATGCACTTTCTTCTCTCTAGCCCTTTTATAAAATGAAAGAGCCCCTGCTAATAATAATGACATATTATTGTCTTCTTTCACAGAACAGATAAAGCCAGCAAACAAAAACACAAAACAGACACCTCCCACCCCCCGTGAAATCCAGGGTGACTTAGAGAATGGAGCATAGGAAGAGAGTATGTGGAAATGGGTTTGGGGGAAAAATAGCCAAAGGCTGGCTCTGAAAAATGTCATAGGCACCTACAATTGTAAGGGCTACAAAATTCAGAGAATATTTGTGGAGTGGAGATTGTAGTGGGGGTAAACTCCTTAGACAGAAAAAAACAACAAATAATAAAATTTGACAAAATGTTTTTACACAGAACTTAAAAGCTTCAGTCTGGCAAAAGTAAACATTTTTTAAAAGTCAGAAGGCAAACAACCAAATAGGCTGGGAAAAAAATGTTTGCAATACACATAACAAAGGGTTGTATTTCAAAGAGCTTCTGGCAAATGTGCCAGCAAATTATAAATAATCCAATAGGAAATGGCCCAAGGATATCAACAGGCTGTCCACAGAAAAGAAAGGGAAAATATTCAAGAAATATGAACCTTCGTCATCTGAGAAAGAGAAATTAAAACAAAAGAGAGCTACCATTTTTAACCATTAGATTCCAAAATTAAAAATAATGATACTGTCAAGTGCTGATTAGGATATGAGGAACTCACATGCATTGTTGGTATGATTGTAAATTGCTATACTTTACGCAAAAGAAATCTGGCATTTTTATTAAAATTGAAAATGCATATATCTTTAACACAGCAATGTACATCTTTCAAAATATATTCAACAGAGTAAAATTGCATATGAATATATATTAAGTGTATATATTTCCATATAAATGCATATATTAAAGAATGTTTATTACGGCAATTTTTTATTTGCCAAAACTAGGAAAAAACTGAAGGTCTGTCTGTAAGGTAGTGATTGAGTTTTTTAAGTTATAGAATTTTAGTCTATAGAATACTATGTAGTCAAGTAAAATAATGAGGTGCATTTCTACAGATTGTTTTAGACATGTATCAATATATAATAAAGAATAATATGTATATATATAAAATAGTATGTATATATATTATAGTTGATAATATAGAGTATAAAGAAAATGAGAAATATATGTGCATATGCTTTTTAAATAAAGGAAGTATAGAGGGACTCATTTGAAATTGTTAGTAAGATTAACAAAGGGTCATTAATGCCCAGTTGAGACAAGATGGGAAGCAACACAATTTTACTTTATAAACATCTTTATCTTTGGAAATGTTTTCACAAGAATGAATTGCTGTTTGATTCAAAAGACTAAAGAAAAAAGAAAGGCCATTACATGTGTTGGCTGGCTGAGCTACTGGTATAAATAAATATCTATTGAATGAATAAATAAATATTCTGGATCTGTCCTCTCACTTCTGCAAGTCTTTTCTGCTTACAGGGGTCCTGGGATTTCTACATTTAAATCCTTTTTTTAAAAAATCATAGGGATAATACTTTTTGTTCTTCTCACAAGGAAGGTTATTCCAGCAAATCAAGTTTCTATTTTGATAATCAGGCCTACATAGTATCATCAAAATAATTCTAGTAAAAAAATCCCACCCAACAAATTTAACTGTCTCTAGTGTTTCTTTCTTTAGAGGGAACATCAAAGATTTGCAGCACAGATTTTCTAACTTAATTCAATTCTCTGTCCAAATCGACTAGAAAATTCTCATTTCATACAATTATAGATCGTTTTTTGCTTTTCATTATAGAATGTTTTCCTTAAGGAATAGAACTTTTTTGAGAAAGACCAATTTTCTGGAGTGAATAAAAACATTATAGCACCTCATCCTTTTGAAAATTGAATTTGAACAAAATCCAAGCACAGTTTAAGATTCAATTTCCTGCTTTGAAGGACTTCATGATAGGTCTGTCAATACCCACAATGCACCGAGTAAGATTCTATGTTATTTTTATTAACTGGTACAACAATAGCTAATTTTTTTAAATGAAATAAAACTCACATGATTATCTCTCTTTGAACCTGGGGGGTCACTAACTACATTCATTCTCACGGGAGAAGGGGAGCAGGGCCTTTTTCAACATTACGGCCTCTCCCTTATGCATCCAAAGCTCCTATGACTGACATCTCCAGGTTGTCCCTCACACAGCAGCACAGGAGCAGGATCTCCTCTGCACACCACGTGTGCCTGGGCCTCACCTCCCGGCTGCCCTGTGAAGGCAGCTCACCCCCTAAGCAAAGGACCGGCGCCTGAACTGCTTTCCCAGCTCCTATGCGCCTGTCCCAGTGGGCATCGAGGCGGGAAGCCCGGGCCCCTTTGGCGAGGGAGTGGTCGCTTTGCCCTCCCACCTGCAGGCGGGCTGGGAGGGTTGTGCAGGACCCTAGTGACGCCTCCACAACAGAGACAGGAGCATCTCAGATGGCTCTGAGAGTGGTCACAGGAAATATGATAAAATGAGAGGGTTTTTGTGTAGATAGGAAAATTCCCCAGGGGACAGGTGAGATTTAGAGTCTTGTCATCTGCCGGAATGAGGACACATGCATCCCTCCCATGATGGTGACAGGCAACTGGGAGGAGGCTCAGAGCAGAGGGGGGGCGGCCTGCAAACTGCATGTTTTTCTCTGGGGACGGGCATTTTTCATAGAGATCAGAACTTTGAGGAACTACTTCAAGTCTGTGTAATTAGGGAGTGAGATATCAGAGCACAGAAATGCAATTGATGCAGCTTCCTTGTATAAGATCCAGACTTTGAACAATTACAGGAAGCCTGGAAACACTGGGATACTGGCATTCAGTGTCACATAATGAGGAAATGACTATCCCAAGGAGACCTGCCTGATATAGAAGAGCAGCAGGGCACAATGCAGGTGCCAGACAAAGAGGGGAAAAACACCCAAAAACAAACCCAGACCCGATCAGGCAAAAGATAATTCCTTTAACCATATCTGGCTAATGATTTTACTGATTCCTAATGAGGAGGCATTGAAAGTTAATGGGAAAACCACAGGATATTTAATTTGTAGTTTCAATATATTAGCAAATGCATTCACGCTCCAGTTAACTATTTAAATAAGCTTTATGGAATTCTTGTTTGTGTGTGTGTAGATCTAATGGAGGCTGTCTCGGTTGAGAGGTTCCAGCAGGTACTGAACCCATGACTGAGAAATTAGAGTTGGGCATATGAGTGCTGTGGCAGAATGCGGGCCTCACCCAACATGACCCTCTGCACCGCCCAGTGATCTTCTCAGAGGCGGTCATTATGTGGCTCCCTCGGCCATCCTCCACCTAGGTGAGTGAGCCACAGAAGGTAGGGACGTGGTGAAGTCACACACTGGTATTAGCGAGACCATACTAGCTGACAATTGAGGACAGGTCATCAACTCCAAATCACATTTATACTTTTTCTAAAGCAAAATTCTGAAGACTTATTATTAATTACAGATTCTGATTCATTGGTAGGTCTGCGTCAGGACCCAGATATTGGCCTTTTATATGAAAACCTCAGGTGAATCTGATCCACGGCCCACAATTTGAGAAACATCACTTTAAGGTAACTCTGATTCCTGAGCTAAAGAATTTGCAGATTTATTGGAGAATAAGCCATTGAAATTTCAGGCAGACATTTCCAGTCTGTGTGTAGAAATGAGCTGAGATGCAGGTGTTGACAATAAGCAGTTTTTTTTTTTTGGCCCAGTTAGCCTGTCACTCTTCCGGCTGCCGTAAGCATTTTCCACACCTTACAGAGGTTTCCTTCTTGGAGATGTCAGATCAGACTGCTATAAATATGGAAAGGGGAAAAAGGAGAATTTTTTTTTTTTATGCAGGTTAAAAATAATACCCCCAATTTAGCTTTTCCACCAAACTAAGTAAATCAATGAAAATAAAAGCTAAAATAGGCAGAAAAGGGTACCGGTGTACAGTAAAAAGAGGCTATAGAAATGGTGAAAGAGTCAGCAAAATGCAGTGTAGAAAAAGAGGGGCCAGCCTTCAAGACGCAGTGGCAATCTGAAGACCCACAGGGGTCTCTTCTCTGTGCGGTGAGTATGGACCTTGAGAGCTTGTTTGGAGGTTCTAGCAGGGAGCTTGTATACCCTGAACCCAAGAACAGTCCTCTCCCCTATGGGGGAAGGTCATCCTCTTGGACCAAGTGTGCAGCTTGGGGAAGGACGCACAGGGAGCGGTGATGGAGAAAGGGGACACCCACCTAGCCAGCCAGATCAGCTGAACTGACCCCAGCTATCAATGGGGTGACAGATGTCACAGCTAGATCACCCACACATCCTTATTTCAGCCACTTGAGTTAATACCATAGGTAAGTACTAGCCTAGGGTGTTCATTTATTTTCTGAGTATATACTTACAATAGAAAAAATTTTCTTGGGTATGCTTGCAGAAATAAGAAATCAGAGTTCTTCTGAAGAGACCATAGAAGGACCAGAGGCAGAACACTTTATGGAGATCACACTTCTCTGGGAGCCTCCCTACAATGAGAATCTTGACCTCTAGGTCTATGATGATTGTTTTTAAATTGGAGCATCCCCAAAAGAAGGTAATTCAAAGCTGCTTTTAAAGTTCTCCCACCTCCTTCTAATATCATGAATGGTAAGGCCAACTCTTGATGGTTATTGTAACTCTGACCTGGCTTAGTGCAATCTCACAGACAACCTAAACCTCAGCTGTAATGATTTGTTAACAGTCAATGCCTAGGTTGAATGTATCTCCTCTATTCCCTCTTTGATGAGCAGTGAGGAGCAGGACACAGCTGCAGTGATGTAGGTGGGAGATAGACGGAGAAGATACAAAATGCCAGAAAATGTTCCGATTCCTGATCTTGAGGAGCTTAGTGACCTACAGAAGGTGCCTTCCTGTCTCCCCACCTCGCACCTACACTGAGCCAGCTCATTGCTGAGTGCACACTGTAGATTCTTACTAAATATCACCTGGAAGTCAACATGTACTCTATCAGCACTAAGTAATAATAGAATTAAATTAACATCTTTTTTTTTAACCTACCTCATTTCAGTCCATGTGTTTAAAGTCAGTTCCCCTGCTTGGAGTGAGAGAGGATCCATGTATATATACTTCAGGATACCACAGCAATTCCATGCCAGCCCTTATTCTTGGTTTGTGTCAACAGCCCATGCACAGAGCATCTATGTTTAGGTGACTGTGGGAAGCATTTTGGGGGTGAGATGAGGGCAAAGAGAAAGAAAAGAAATGGAGACCATGAAGCATTCTATTTGAAGGGGGAAATATCTGTGTTAAAAACAAAAGTTTCTACCACTCAGTGTGTTTTGATCATTTCCCATCACTAACTTCCTTGAGCCTCAGTTTCCTCACCTATAAAAAGGGAATGATATCTACTTTGATGGTTGTACTGAGGACCAAATGAAATAATTAGGGTTGCCAGATTTAGCAAATAAAAACAATGTCAATACAACTATGCCCCTGCTATGTTTGGGACATACTAATACTAAAAAATTATTTGTTATTTATCTGAAATTCAAATTTATCTTATGTTTTTTTGTTTGTCTTATGTTTTTTTGGCGTCCCTAGAAAAAATATGTGATAACAGCAGCCATTTGTTGAATGCCTTTCATGTGTCAGGCACCTCTAGGTATTTCAGTTACATTGGCCATCATTCTAACAGCGGCTGAAGGCAGTTATTACTAATCTCATTTTGCATCTAGGATGTGGAAGTTTTCCAAAATGAAATAGCCAGGAAATGGCAGTCAAGATTAAAACCCACTATATCATTCTGTTCTTTAGTTGATGAAAGCACTTTGAATTTGGAAAGTACCCAAGTGTTTATTATGACAAATTGCCTCACTATTTATTACCCCTGTCCTGGGTACAGCAAAAGGGACTGTAGAGAGAGAATGGGAATATGGAGATTAAAAGGTGCCATCAAGTGTAGGAAAAAGCCTGTAGTTACTGCTCAACTTCCTGGGTGATGGTCTCTTGCCAGGAAATCTGTGTTTCTAAGGATACCGAAGAGGGCGCAAGGGCTCAGTAACAACATCACAGTGTGTATGCTACACATGGGATTATCTGCTGCCAAGCCCATGCCAGAGCAGAGATTACTGACTAGCTGGGCCTTAAAATAAATTACTTACATAAGCAACCATATTCACATTTTTACCTCCTCAGTAACCTTTAAAAATATATATATATATTGATTTCAGAGAGAGGAAGAGAGAGGGAGAGAGAGAGACAGAAACATCAATGATGAGAGTCATTGATCAGCTGCCTCCTGCACACCGCCTACTGGGGATGGAGCCCACAGCCTGGGCATGTGCCCTGACCGGGAATCGAATCCCCATCTCCTGGATCCTAGGTCGAGGCTCAACCACTGAGCCATGCCTGCCGGAATCAGTAACCTTTTAAATAACTAGAATCCCAAGTGAGATGTTACACACACACACACACACACACACACACACACACACAGAGAACACATATGCACACAAACACCACATATCCTAATGAACATTTTGCAGCAACACATTTAACACAGAAAGATATACACATATACATCAGAGTAGCTTTCTATAGGGGAGCAGTGGAAAGGGAATTGGCAATGAGAACAAGATAATAAACCAATAAATAAGTAAATGTTTTAAGTAATTTGTTAACAACACACACACAAACCCTGTGTAAAATGGTTGATGATAATGTGATATGAACTGAGCATGAACTATTTAACAACCTGAATGTGCCTCCAAGAGTAAAATGTACCCCAGTAATTCCGGATCACCTGTTTCTCTAACCCAAAGTGCTAGTTTGTTTCCCAGGCCTCTGTGTCCTCAGTGGTAAGTCATTGCATGAGGAGGATGACTGCAGGGAGGGGGCAGTGGAGGCCTGCTCTGCAGGAAAGAGGAGGAATCCTCTCTGGGACTTAGGCCAAGTTAGGTGGAGTGGCTGCCTAGACATCTTTACCTGAGGGTTAGAGGGGAAGCCAGGCTAAGCCAAAAGCAAGCCGGAGGGCAGATGGGGGTAATGCCAAGCCAAGGAGAAAGCCAGGAAGGAAAACCAGGTCCCGGTAGGCCCTTCAGAGGGCAAGACATGGGCGCCTATTCACTTAGCGCAGTTCAGAGGCAGTCAGGTGGGTGACACTCGAATGCAATGTTACATGCTTTTATCTGTCACTGAGAGATAATGAAAAAGATTTTTCCCCCTAATGTGACTGTTAGGAGTGTTAAAATGTATATAAAATACTAAAGGCAATTTGAAGGTGCTTATACTTAAAATGGTTCAGAATTTGATTTTAACATAATCTGTATGCATATGAACTGTGGGCTTAAGTTCCAAATGGGAAATAATTATTTTTTCCCTGTTTGATATCTCCAAATTTTACTTTTTTCACTTGAAAATTTATTTGTACTAATCAAGAACAACAATTTTGCCTTTTGTGATTTCCAGCAAACAATGCAAATATTTAACAAGTAAACATTGTGGAGTAGAACCTTCTGAACAGCATACATGAGAAATTTGTAGATTTAAATTTAATTTGAAACCATAATGAATTCAAGGTACCATTCCCAGGACAGTTGTGTAGATGAAGATAAAAAAGTCATGGTCTATTTGGTATGTCTTAAGGATATACTATACAGCCAGAGAGTGTCCTAGAAAGAGGCTACAAAATTTCCAGTAAATAAGTTAGGTATTTTTTATATCACACTTCCAGAAGAAATTTAGAAATAGGGCTTTTGCTCTAAGTACCTAGAAAAATTTATTTGACCAAGGGCTCAGAAAAATTAGCAATGTTTTCATTTGGTACAGAGGGCTTATCTTCTATCACAACCTGCTGTTGCGTTGTATTTATAAAGCCTTCTGGCTGATCCTCTTAGCTAGATGGATGCTTAGATTATTTCTGCCTTCTTAGCCATGTGATGATAGACTCGGATTGATTGAAATGGCTTACTGTGGCTGAATTCCTTCTTGTTGCCAATGCAAAGAATCCCATTTAATGGCAATTTATAAAATCTCTGAGTAGCTCCTAACTGAAATTGTTTGATTTCTCCATATAAACCTTTTTTGGAATCAGCCTGCTATTTCAGAGGCTATCGTAGGCATTTAAAAAATCTGGGTCACTCCTTCTGCATTATAGGAAGAAATCTGTGATAGACTAAGGCCTCAGGACCCATCTGTAGCTATGTGGGAACCATGTGGGGTTGTAAATAAAGCTGGTGGAGGCCCACAGCAGCTTTCAAACCCTGACCCTCAGCACTAGGACAACCAAATACTGAAAACTGTGCATGGCGAACATACTGGAAAAAAATAGGGCCTTTATGTAAATATATTATTGAAATGCTAATCATATTCAAGTTAATAATGAGGATTTTAATACTGAAGAAAGGATGACAAAGGAACTGGGTTACATGGGATTGTTGAAATTCAGCAAATAATGATTTTTTTTCTAATTGACGATTCTTAAAGGAATAATCACATTAACCTCTTTTTGGTTAAACAATATCACATTGATATTTATTAGGGAAAAATGTTGCTAACAATAGTTACCTCTGATTGGTCAAGGATTCAAGTGGCAGAAGGTAGGAGGCTTACTTCCCAGGTTATCAAGGTCACACACAAACTTGGAGACTCTTGGTATTTTTACTTTCTTTATGTGCTTTCAATATTTTCTAAATATTTTGAGATAAACACATTGTATGGTGAAGCCATATAGAATGATGGGTAAGAGTTCAGATGCTAGAGCTACTACAGTTCTAATTTTAAATTTTGACTGGTCACATGAGTGACGTAGGAAATCGTAACCAATCCCCCCAATCCCTTTCAGTGAAACTTGGCCAACTTCCATCTGCCAGTATCTGTAGCTCTGGGCCTTATATCATGGAGTCTGATCTACTTATGCATGCAGCAGGCCTGGAGGATATCCTTGACCAATGACTAATGAAAGTTAGCCTTCAATATCTTTCAAATGGTACAAGAGAACTCTGGGGAGAAGTACTTTGTCACCATCCACTTTGGTAATTGGCTGAATGGTGCCTCCTTAAGTGGCTACCTTCCCTTTTCTGAACCACTTTCCACTCTCCCTATTAGTGTTTTCTGGATTTCCCAAATTATCTATTTGCATCCAAATGCTTACCTCAGGGTCTGTTTCTGGGAGAACCTACACTAAGACAAATGGCAATTATACATCCAGGTTGCTAATCGATGTCTCCAGCCCAGACTTCTCCCCTGGGCTCCTGATTCAGACATCTAACTTCCTGGTTGAATCTCCATCCGAATGCTTACAAACAGCTCCACCTTAACATGGGATAACGGATACCTGTTTCTCTCCATGTTCTTCCCAGTGAATTCCCATGGTATGGAGCATGAAATCCGAAGTTCTCACTGCGGTTTGAAAAGTCACAATGATCTCACTTGCTCGCCTCTCTGGACCACCTCCTTCCGCCCCGGCCTTGCTCACTGGGCTCTAGGGCACTGGGGATCTTTCAGATTCCCAAACATGTCATGCATGTTCCCTTCAAAAGCCTTATACTGGCGTTGTTGTCACAACATTCAGGCCTCAGCTAAGAAACCACCTCC